GGGGGGGGATATGTCGCGCTCCAACTGCAGAGCGGTGGTGGTTGGTGGGGGGCTGGCGGGAAAACTGAAGAGCGCGGGGGTGGGGAGGGGTCATGGTTAGGGTGGGGATGTCGCGGGAAAACTGGGGGGTCACTTAGCTAGGGCACTTCAGATCACTTTGGAAGAGCACTGCACAGGTTGAGCCCTATGTGTGCAGGTGCCTGGCATTATGGGATAGCGCAGCATGCATGGGATGCGCACTCCGGAATCTCGCCGAAAGTAGTAAGTCATCCGGGTTCTTCTCGCATACTGATTTTCCAATTCTATGAATTCTGACATACTACTCGGCTCGCATACTGATTTTAGCGTACTGTATAGTATGGAAGTATGCGATTTCGGACGCAGCCTAAGTCTGTAAAATAAACTATTAAAAGTGCTGATGATTGTGATGGTACGTGTTGTATTGTCGTCTTTCAGGTTGTATCTCAGCTTTAATGCGCTTTTTAAATAAATAAATTAAAAACAAAGCAGCTGCTCGCCATCGCGACAGTAATGAGATCCAATGGACGGCCGATTGCCTTCACTCCAAAATGGCGGAATTCAGCTTTATTTGTATAGCGCTTTTACAATGTAGATTGTGTCAAAGCAGCTTCACATATATGGTCATAGTAACTGGAACAGGGTAGTTCAGTAACTGGAACAGGGTAGTTCAGTTTTTAATGTTTAAGTTCAGTTCAGTTTAGCTCAGTTCAGCATAATATGATAGTTCAGCCACTAGTTATGTCCATGTTTGGGAAACGCACCCCAGTACGGTGCTCCTGTGATGATATATGACTGTGTGTTTCAGGGGGCATCTCTGCAGACGATGATGTTTTTCAGACTCCGCACCGGCGCCTGGCTAATGGAAAGATTGGCTCCGTGTACCAGCAAATGGGTGCCCTCATTCGGGAAAAGGCTGTAGGATTTAAAGGGGAATTTCTTCCGGCTCGACCTCGCGGACGGGTGGCCAAGCTGATGCCCGGAGTGTTTCTTCAATCCCATTTCCAAAGGGCTCCACAGAGGCAGGCAGAGCTCCTGCGAAACACTGACCATGCGGAAAACAAGCAGCCTGCGCACCGTACGCTCACAATGGTGAGTGCCCACGCAAGATGCCAATCTGTTTTGACGCGTTGGCATTTTAAGCAGTGTGTGACGGAGGAAGTAGCTTTTTTTTGGGATTTGTGTGTTAGTTTATATACATGGTTGGGCATGCTAAAATTGATGTTTCCCAGGGATGGATTGCAGCTGGAAGGGCATCTGCTGCATAAAACATGCTGGATAAATTGGTGGTTCATTCCGCTGTGTCGATCACGTTTTAATAAAGGGACTTAGCCGAAAATAAAATGAATGAATGAATATGCATGAAAAATCCAGCTTAAACCAGACTAGGCTGGTTGGCTGGTTTTAGCTGGTTGACCAGCCTGGTTTTAGAAGGGTTTTGGCCATTTCCAGGCTGGTTTTAGTTGGTCTGGCTAGAAAATGACCAGCTAAATCCAGCTAAAACCGGCTTGACCAGCCTGGTTTAAGCTGGACATAACTGGTTTTAGCTGGACTCCCAGCTTGGCTAGGCTGGTCAAGCTGGTTTTAGCTGGTCATCTCCCAGCCTGATTAGCTAAGACCATAGGCTGGTCAAGCTGGTTTTAGCTGGTCATCTCCCAGCCTGATTAGCTAAGACCAGGCTGGAAATGGCTGGAAACCAGCCTGGAAATGGCTAAAACCCCTCTAAAACCAGCCTGGTCGACCAGCTAAAACCAGCCCAACCAGCCTAGGCTGGTTTAAGCTGTTTTTTTCAGTAGGAATGGAGTCAAACACCTCTAGAATTCGCGTCCTGATTTTAAAGCAAAAATCTGAAAGCAAAGGGTGTCAGTCTGTCTGAAAGGTCTGATTAAAGGGTGATAAAATCATATACACACAGGCTGCAGATCGTTAGTTAAACTAAATCTGTGTAATTGGTCTCTATAGAGTGGAGGAACTATGACGTCACCTTGTAGGCTAATCGGCTGCTAGCATAAAACTGGTTCCCTCGTGAAAATCCCTATGGGATTTCACCATTCCCGGCCACTAGACTTTTCCGACAGGGTATTTGAAGGTCATCGAGTGACAGAATGTTGTGGGACTGCTGTACAGCATGACGGTAAAACACGTACACGGTTATGAATCTATTATAACATGTGCTTGTTTGTTTTAAAAATTCGTAATAATGACAAAAAAAGGCTCGTTTGTGTATTACATGATTTCCTTGTGCAGCCCTGCTGCTGTTGTGGCTGGTGTATTCTGGGAAATTTTCTTACCTCTTGGTTTCGAGTGTGATCCTGAAAAATCTCCGTTTGAAGGGCTAACTAGCCCTTCCCCTTAGCCCTACGCCTTCAAGCTAAATAGAATTGGGACACCCTTACCCCTTCACGGGGGTAAATCTTTTATATTCCACAAGTGAGGAAATTTTGATATATATATATATATATATATATATATATAAGCGATATCACACTCATAGCAGTGCGATATGGCTTTATATCAGCACTAGTGGAAGTTAGTGCGTTAGTGTCCCACCAGTGCTGATATACAGCCATGTTGCACTGCTACGAGTGTGATATTGCGTTTATACCACAGTTCGAGTTGAGGTCTCTGAATAAGACTGTTGAGAACTGGGATAGGAAAGTAACCATACTGAGGTGTTAATAACTGTATCATGCACCGGGTTTTGGGTGGCCGCTGCGATCAGATACTGTACCAAAGTTAAAGACCTGGGGGTGTTACAGACTGTACCAAAAAAAGGGAGTGGGGTGACAAGATTTTTTCAATTGGGATTGGGCCTTTATTTATTGCACTTCTCTGCAATATGGATATTGCATATACTATTTTTGTGATATTGATAATTTTTCGATTATGTACATGTTTTGATTTCGATTATATTATGCAGCCCTAACCTCTACATTCTGCTTGTTAAGTGTGACGGGCTGCCGGGTCCAAGCGCTCTATGAGACTGAATGGGAAGACTGATCAAATGTTAATAATAAATGTTTACAAAGCAATGTAATACTTTCGAAAATCACGATTGCAATATATATAATATATGGTAATATATATATATATATATATATATATATATATATATATATATATATAT